AATGGAAAAGAAATGGCACAAGTGAAAAAAAGCCACAAATAAAGAAGAGGGGATGTAGAGAAAACACACCAGGAAGCTCTGAAGCATCAAAATAAGAGTGCCATGGGCAGGAGTGTGGGACAACAGAAAAAACAGTTAAACAAGGGGAAGTGGAAAAGAGGACAGGAACCACATGCAAATGTACACAATTCCAGTGTTATCAATAAGGCATGGATTGCTAAAGCTGGGGCCAGCTACGTTGACAGAGAGAACTATTGCTAGATATAGTTTACATCCGGTAGAACGATCAGAGCGGGTATAGTCTAAACTTAGTGAATTGAGGTGAAAATGGTGAAGGAACCACCAGGGAGCATGGTTGAAAGCGTAAGTCACAAACAATCCCACACCAGTTTGGAATTATGGTTAATAGAATGGTTATTTATTTAAGGGGGAAAAACTTACAGATCACCGTCCCAGACAACAGCCCTCTGCGCAATCAGGAAGAGAGCCTAGTCACTGGAAGCTGAGCAGGAAGCCAGAGAGCTAGCTGGAGGGAAGCGGCCGCTTTTTTAAAAGGAGAGAGACCACGCCCCAATGGGCTGGTATCTCAGCAGCTATTGGCTGAGGGAGCAAGGAGCAGAAGGAGCTCCCAGCAACACACGGTGAACAGAAACAGGGCTCCAGAGACAAGAATCAAAGGTGACCCCGCTACTCCCCAGCCATGAAACTTCATCCAGGTTCTAAATTCCTTGAGTTCCCTACTCCTCCAATTTTGGCTCCAAGTTTCCACATCAGCTGTAGAAGTCTGGACCACATTTCTGCACAGGTCTGTAGTAGGGAGAGATTGTATTATGGTCTGTACCTGAAGGGTTCTCTCGGAAGGTTTATCTGAATGGCAATGCTCAGCAGTGAACCTTTAGAGATGTGATTGGCACCTGAGGACAATGACTTAGTCAATAGCTAAATCCCTGCTAAAATCCCAACTTAATAGCATCAATGGGAGGTGATGGTCTAGCTGAAGAGAACAAGCATAGGGCACACCCTGGGAAGATATAGCTAGTCTGCACCCTAGCTCATCCCCTCCCCACTTCCTGTCCTCACTAAGGTGGGTGACTTTGCTCTACCACACTGTTAGCAATGGTGTTCTTCTCATTCAGCCCACAAACAGCAAAACAATCCAATCATGGATGGAAAACTCAGACACTATGAGCCAGGGACACTCTTCTTCCTTTACTATTTATATAGGCATTTTTTTTCACCACATAGCAAAGGCTCCAACACATGTGAATGCAGCCTATCTGCCGTGCTTTGAATTCTCCGTCAGAAAGCCTATGTAAGATGCCCATATTAGAGCACTGATTTGAAACGTCCCCTATAGTTTAGGAGACTCTTTGGTGGAACATTGATCTTACCCTCTTAAAGTCTCCCCTCCCAGGTGTTAGACAAACATAAGTATCCCAAGTTCTAAGATCGTAGACAGCTAGCTCTATCCTAATTCAGTGCTGATCTCTACAATACCTCCGTGTTGGGGGATATTCAATCACACTGTGAACCCCAAGTGTGCATTTCAGTTAATTAAATAAACCTAACATTAGGTCAGGAGGCTGAGTTAGAAACTAGTTGATAGAAAGTAATCAAAGAGCATCAGAGGGCATCTGGAAGAGACAGACAGATTCACTGGAAGTAGTAGGGTGAAGCTTTTTCTGTTTTGGAGTAGAGGGGCGTGCTTCTTGGGAGACATATGCTATGGAGATGTGGGGCGTCGGGCATACAGAATAAAAGAAAAGTAAGAAGCCATATGGTAAATGTAGATTAATACAAGCAGGTTAATTTAAGTTATAATAGCTCCTGGAACAAGCTTAATCTAAGGCCAACTTCTCATAATCCATACGAAGTCTCCATGTCATTATTTGGAAGCTGGCTGGCAGGGCAGACAAAGACTCATTACATCTCCATGTTCACTGTTTTCATCTCATTATTAAGCAAGTGTTCCCAAAAGCACATCACAAAGTTTGAATATAACAACTGATCATTTATCCTTTGATGCCTCAAAGATCTGGATTGAGTTTGTTTACTCCTCCAATTTAATCCTGTGTAAAACATGTACAGAGTACCATTAACATAAGTAAAGTCATCAGCACCCTCTTATCAAAATGTCATCACCATGTGGCTCACACCTATAATTCTAGCATTCATGAGGCTGAAGCGGAAGGATTGCTGAGAGTTCAAGGCCAACCAAGTCTATAGCGTGGAATAGTTTACCAAACAAACACAAAGCCTTAAGGCCACCACCAAGCAGCAGTCAGGAATTTCTCATGTAGTCTTAAGTAGGCAGAGAAAATTCAAAACTTCCACGAGTATTGTGGAACAATTAACACTCCAAAGGAGCACTGATGCCCACAAAACCCAGAGCAGGTGCCCAAAGCATTTTGACATCCCCTAGGTTGAAAATATCGGCATCAATCCTACTGAGAAGACATGGGGAAATTGAAACAAGCTTAAAAAACAGCATAAGCCTGAATGCTCTGGAATAGTTCAACCCCAACTCTGGAACTAGGAATGGCGTGGTGGCAGAGGCCTGCTGGTAATCTGTACTGGGGGCAGGGTGGAGGTAGCAGGATCAGGAGCTCACAGTGGGTGAGATCAAGTCTAGCGAGGGCTGCCTGTGGCACCTTGTCAAAAACAGAAAGCAAAGGAAGAAGATAGAACAGGAGGAACCCAAGCTCTACAGTGAAAGTATCTGGGTTCAGACCTGGTGGTGCAAATCTCAACTCAGCCAAGCCTCTTCCCCTTGAAAGCACTGCCCATCTCCCTTGCCATGGACCGGGTAAATGCAAAGGAGCTAGAAGCCACCTGCTGTCTAAGTAAGATCACAAGGGAGTTAACCCACTAGCCGTGGTTTGTGATTGCTACTCACACAATGACGCCGCAGTGGAGGGCTGACTTTCTCCATCAGCCCACATCAGTCATCCCAAGTTTCCAAACCGTGATCGAACAAAATCATCAGGCGGGTCGATCATCACGAGAGTCGGAAAATCCATGGCACATAGCTTTTGCCTCATTAATAAATTTTCTAAATGAGTTTCCCTTCTAAGACATGCAATCATGAATGTAACAAGTCTGTCATTCTGACTTTTGGTTAGTTGCCCCTGTTTTCACTTTGTCCTCCTAAACCAGGGGCACCCAACTCTTTGCTGCACTGATAACCAGGAAGTGTGGGTCGGTAGGATGGCATACTTTCATTACAATCTTCACCTCATCCGCAGGCTGTCTCCACCAGTGATTGACTGCAGAGGTCCCTAACAATCTCCAGGAGAATTCGCTCACATTTAACAAATAGGCAGGTGTGTGACAGCCAAGTGCTGTATGTGGCTGTGTTCTACACGCCAAGAATTGCAAAGAAACCTGGCAGTAGATCTTACTGCAGTTCCTGATGAATGAACTCCAGCACAGAGAGGACCACAAACAAACATGACTGGATTTCCCCTACCCTAAAGTACTCAAAGTCAGAGCGATTTTAGCAATTCCTTGAAAAACATGTCCTTATTAAATCTCCCGAGAATTTGTATTGGTTTTAATATCTGACTTCATCTCATCTGATATGTAAATGAGTTACAATTCTTTTTTTTTTCAATTGCAGGGTCATCATTCTAGATCAGAGTCGACAATGAAAGGAGAGGAATACTGTCATGTAAAAGTGGGGTGTGTCTTCCCACTGGGGTCACTCAGTCCAGTGTTTATGGGTGAGTGAGACAAGGCAACTCAGGGCTCACTATAACAGTGATACGATGGAAGCAAGTTTGCTCTAAAGTATTGTAAGACAAAGGCTTTCATACGCACAGGGTGATGTTTCCTGGGATAACCAAAAGAGTTTAAATTCACTTCTTCAAAGTAAACAATGCAAATCTATGTCAAAAGTCACAGTAATTCCTCAAATTTCAGAATACACATTTAGGCACTACATAGTCAAAGTCGTGAAACAGAATGACACCCTAGCTCTGTTCCTAGTTCATGACCCGAGCAGTAACCAGACAGCAGACTGAATTTCACAGAGAATGAAACATTGAAAGGTAACGTGAACCCCAAACGGTGTTTTTCTTACCGGAAGGAGCGAAGCTAGGAAAAGGTATGCGTGCCTTTGAGTTATTTCTCCCAACCACTTTTTCTATTATATAATATTTCAGAAAAGCAAAGAAGAGGGAATGCAGAAACGTTCAAAGGACTTTGCAGGCTGCCCGAGAGCAGAACACGGAAAGCTGAGTGGGACCCAGCTTTCTCCAGCAGACTAATGTAAAGAAGACCTGGCAGAAACTTCTTGAGCCAGTTAAGTAGACCAGGCTACTAGACTTCTCCGAACTCCTCCCAGCGCGCCACATGGTGACCAAGAACAAGACATTTCCCCATGTTACCCACTAATGCCGGAGGAATCCCTCCTGTGCCCCTTCCTCCTAACTGTTGGATTAACCACCCAGTGCCTCTCCCTGCCGCTGACACATGCATTGCTGGCTCTCGCCTCTCTCATCAGATCTTTGAAATAGTCCATTCTTTGGACTTCATCATACCTCCCATAAAGGGGGGGGGGATGTGCAGAAACGCACTGAATTAAAAAAAAAAAAAGTCAAGGTAGTTCCCTTTCAACGGGATTTAGCGTAAAAGCCTGTGGGAAGTGGACAGTTACTCCCCAATATGAAATACATACACTCAAACTCTGGCGGGGGTCGGGGTCTGACAGGTGCTTGGAAAATATCAGGTTGGAAGCATTGCATCTTCAGTGGCAGTAGTTGTGCTGGGCGGGGAGGGGGCGCTGCCTAAGGTCTAGTGTGTGTTAAGGTTCCCGCCCTGTACCCAATCAATGACATCCTCAAGTTCTCATGCCCAGTGCCTGACGGCACAGCATCCCTCCATAGCTTCCCCTAGAGACCTGGTCTCTTCCTCTGCCATGGTGTGGCGCGGGTAGGGCGGGGGCACATGGAACTACGAAGCTGTCCGCACGCTTTCCAGAGCTGCCGGGCTCCACTTACATGCCGGGCTGGAGCTGCAGGGCGCTTCCTGGCGGCCAGTGATCGGCGGCCCAGACGCAGAAGCACCAGAACCACAGTGGGGAGGTCATCTCGTTGAGGCTGAGACAGTAGGGACACCGCCCCAACTGAGCGCGGTGCGCCGCTCGGGATCTGCAAGTCCGAATCCCGCGCAGAAGTTGGGCTCGCCAGGCAGAAGTTGCAAGTGCCGGGCTCGCTCTCGAGGACCGCGACGTGCGTCTCGCAGCGGAGGGCGCGGCAGCTCGACCCCAGCAGGCGACACAGGCAACAAGCGAGCGCGTGCTAGTAGTGGCCGGCCAAGCCAACCCCAGGAGCTGTAGCCCAAGAGCTGCACAGCCCCTGCATTGCTGGAGACAACTGGAGACCAGCAAGCCCAGCGGTCCTGCAGCCCCCGCAGTCCTGGTGCCATGGCAACGCGCTCGCCGCCCTCTGGCCCCAACCCCTCCGGAGCGCTTAAAGAGACAGCCCCCTGGCCACCATGCGCTCCTTGCGCTGCAGGGCGGTCCCCGCCCCCACGCCCTCTTCACCCTCTCTCCCCCAAGAGGCGACGGGCGGTGGCTGGGGAAGCATCTGGCACCTCACATCGTGTTCTTCCACCAATAATCCACACAACTCTACTCCCAGCCTCTTCCTCCAAAGCCTTTGAGCATCCTCCGCCCCAAACCAGCAAAGATGCTAAGCAGTGCGGGCTTTCCCCCTCCAACACCAACCTGCTTAGGACCAACCAGCTGCGCCTCTGCCACCAGCGGAGAGCAAAAGCAAGCTGACTTTTTTATTCCCTCTCGCTCAGCTCCCTCCCACCTGAAGGCTGTGAGGACAGTCTGAGCACAGATCTGGGGGGGGGGGGGTGGGGGTAAGCTTGAAGTGGGGAAGGAATTGCAATTGACCGAGTGCAGTCTGCTGCCAAATCGACAGTTGCTGTACACATCGCTGGCGCGTCCAGAAGTCCTGGATATTCAAAATGAGATCGTCTCCCTCCGCTGTATTTGGCCACCACCTCACTCATTTTAGGCACCAAGTTTTAAGAGGCGCCGCCGACTCTTTGGAGTCATCTTCTCCAAATCTAGTCTCTTCTTCCTTCAAACCAGCTCCAACTGCCTAAAATCCGCAAAGCAACCTCCAGTTGCTAGCCCCTATGGTCCTTCCAGAAGGGAACAGCGTTTGCTGGAATCAGGGAGCTTAGGCTGTGGTATTGGCCAGCACCGCCAGGGATGCGCAGCCAAGAGCTGAGCAGAGCAGTAGGCAGGCACTAGCTTCTCCTACTGGAGGCTATGCCTTTGCCCGGCGCCAGCTGCTGTCTGGAAGGCCACAAGCCTCTGGGAGTGTGTTTCGTGAAAATAAAAATCTGTGGCGCGTCATGCCCTCCAACAAGGACAGCCCAGGCTTCGAAGCCATAATCTGCGCTTTAGCCCAACAAAACGTGCAGCAATCTGCACGGGGACAACTTTTTCTTTTATTCCTAAACTTAGAAAAAGTGGCTCTCCAGAGAGTTGTTCCTTGTCAGATACTTACAGTGATACTACCCGGCTTTCTTGCTCATAGGAACCCTAAAAGAACCTTTCTGAAAAGATGTTTTGGATTCCCCCCTCGCCCTCCGTGGATGAATTAATCACCCGCCCCTTAGTTTCCATCTTTCAAACCAATGTTCCTTTATTTCTTTCAGCTTTTCTGACACTGAGGAAACAAGTGGGAATTTCTGGAGGGGCTAGAGGCATTCTGTTGAGACGTCTTTGAAAAGGAAAGAAAGGTCTGTGTGAAAGACAGTCATACCTGCATGCTTTAGTACTTCCTAATAGTTCTCCTCGATTTTGAGATGAATTCACCTATTTGTCTTAGATTTATCTGTCATTATATACTCATTCTTTAAGTTTAACACACACACACACACACGTGTGTGTGCCTTCTTTATTTGAGTTAAACTTGTGAACAAAATTTCAAAATTGTAAATGTGCAGCTAGTTAGCTTTTGGCATATATCCTGAAAAGATCATTTTAGAGCGGGTTGCACAAAAGAAACATTTATTTATGCCCGCTTAAAATATAAAAGAAGGATTCATTCTTAGGTTCTTTCCTAGAGGCGATTCTGCATCCTGCAGGCCCTGGAGACCAGAAGTCCAACCCAGAGTCACTGAGCCTAGGGATAGTGTCAATGAGTGTTCCAGAGGTCTGAGGTCACTGGACCACCTTCTCAGCATGGCTTCCTAAACCATGCTGGTATTGTAATATCTACTCCTCATTCTTCTCAGGGATCCTGAATGTATTAGTCATCTTTATTTATAAAGAAATAATAATAACCAAGTTTATTGTTTAATCTTCTCTCCTCTTCTTTGATCTCTCCTCTTCCACAGCAATGTTAATAAAGAGTCAGATGGCCCAGGGCAAGCAGAGTCCTATGGGGATGAGAAGGCAAGAGAGTTACTGGCTAACACATAGAACAGTATCTTCTGAACTGCATGTCCTGACTGTGTGCAGGACCCTGAAGAAAGGATGAGGCTCACCTTTAAGGCCACTTCGTAAAACTCCAGGTTGTTTTAACACCGTTTTGATCTTAATTGTATTTATGACAATGTATACCATACCCAAAGATAACAGGATGGATTAACTGTCTCCTGAAATTCCCTGTGAAGTGCTAAGCCTTTCTTTGCTTCTAGACTAGTTTTAACTCTGTGGGGGTCTGCAACTAATCCCATTCCCTTCTAGAATGCAGACAGTTTCTAAAGCATTTCCTTTCCTTGTATTAGAGAAAACCTCAGAGAAGCAATAGTCTATATTTATTACAAAACCAAATTTTGAGTAAGCCATAACTGAAACTCACAAATATGTGAAGGCCTAAAGATAATGAAAAGATACTGAAATATATGTAAATTACCTGATTTGCATGACTATACTGAAGGATGGCTTGGGTATGTGGGAAGTACATCAGTCCATTGGAAATCCTGCATCTGAACGTTTTTCTTTCATGTACATTAGTTTGAAAGCATATTTATTATAGATGAACGAACATTGAGAGCACTTTAGATGCGACAGAATAAATATGATTAGTGTATATTCCATAAATTGAGGTTTGTTTCATTGTGTTCTTTCATGGATAATTATCTAAATACAACATCATTGCATACGCAACATCATTATGTGAAATGACCTTGGTATTAATATTTTTCCACGAACTGAATGAACCTGATTTAAATTCAGCTCCCCTTTTGCAGCACACTCATGCATCTTAAAAACAAACAGTAAGGTGTGGGAGGCATAAGGCAGTTAATGAAGTGCTGGTAGGGCCACCAGGAGGACCGGAGTTCGATTCTCAGCACTCAGCTGAAGAAGCACAACCTGGTTATGCATGCTCATGACCTCAGCACTGAGGAGATTGAGACAGGTGGCTAGCCAAGCCAGCCAGCCTAGCCTAATCTGCAAGGTCCCAGAGAGAGAGAGCCTGTCACAAAACAAACACAAAACCATAGTGGAGGGATCATGAGGAATGACACTGTTGGCTAACTTCTGGCCTCCAAACACATGTATGCCTGCATGTGTGTGCTCCTTCCCCACTGAAAAGGCATACAAATCTGCCCATACTATATTCACAACCAGTTTTATCAGTGAGCATCTGGAACTTTGTCAGCTACAGTCTTTCATATTAAAGCAACAATACAGCTCTCTGGTTTCAGAGTACTGTAGTCATACAAATGAAGCTAGAAATGGAAAAACAACTTTCCCTCATTGCCTAAAGTGGAAGGCATTATTAAATTAGTAAAGCAAGAGAATGAGTAGGATAGGAAAAGGACTAATTTCAAAATTTAAAGAGAAATTTATTATTAATAATAGCCCCCATGGAAAAGGTAATCCAGAATCATCACGAATTGAGTTATCTTTTTTCTCAGCTGATATATATTATATATGATATATCTGCATATATCTATATCTCTTTATCTACATATAGATATGGAGATAGAGATATCAACAAACCAGATTGAGTCTTAAAAAATAACAGGCACAATATAGCTGTCAAATATTACCTCTGAAGCTAGCCCAATGGTTTGGAGGGGCTTCGGTGGGCATGCCTCATGACAGCCCCACTATCTGTATACCTGTATCATAAGAGTGAGAAATCCTGGCCTCTTCCTTGTTGCGGGGAGGGGTAAGCCAATTTTATGCTTTGTATATGCTGGTTGTAGAGAGGAGTGCTTACCTAAAAAGAAATGATTCAAAGCAGATGTTCTTCAAATCTTCCTCAGCTGCTGCTGAAGCTTCGCAGCCACCGAATACTTTATCTTCTCGTCTATCTTCTTCTAATGGAGAAATTGTTGATCCATGCAGTTCAACAGGCAGGCTGCTGCAAAAGCCCCTCCTGCCAATGCTTTTCTGCACCAGTGCTCTCCTGCAAGCACAAAAACTCCTAGTGTCTGTATGGGGACTGAGCAAAAAGCGCAGGCCATCCCATTCAGCAGGTGTTGCGGGCTGAAAGAGGAGGTCAGAAAGTGATTCTTCAAAGGGCAGTCCCTGCCACCAGCGAGTGCAATGCATTGCCATTATAGAAGTGCCTACGAAGCACTAATGAGCCACGTACACCGAAATCTAGATGTCAGGCAAAATAGAATGAAATTCGCCCAGGACCCAACTGAGATTGTCACACCAAGATGTAGCTAATCATTCTCACTTTGATTTCATCTGCCACAAAACTGTGTCCCTACAAGTGCGTAGCTAACTGCGTCTCCTTAAAGAAAAATGATAAATTCAACGAAACATCTTCAGACGTTTGTTTAATACTTCATCTATCACGTTTTTATCCCACAATACTTGTTAGTCATAGGGACTTTAAAATTGTAAATCGGGATGGAACTCCCGTGCATTTATTAAAGCATAGTGAAAGACGTGGGCAGACACACAGCTGACCTGTACCTTTGGTTTTTAGAAACTAACACCTTGTACAGCTAATAGTGAATCTAACATTAAATTACAGTCCTAATTTTTTCTTTTGTTGAAAATAGTTTTTTTTTTCATATCATATATCCTGATTACAGTTTCCTTTCCCTATGCTCTTCCCCCTAGTCTCCCTCCCTTCCGGATCTACCCCTTTCTGTCTCTCATTAGGAATGAAATAGGTACAAAACACATAAACAGACAGAGAAGAGCCCAAGAGAAGGTACAAGAAGCAGATACAGACGCAGAGACCCCTTGTTTGCTCCGTAACAGTTTTTGAAGTGGACTGTTCGACCGTGTTAAGCACATCACATTTGTGTGCAGTAGAATTCAGAATGTCTTCGTTTTATTGAAGTGAAACTCCAAACTCATGAAATGTGAATTCTCCTTTCCCTGCAGCCCTTGGGCAGCCGCCTTTCTAGTTTTCACATCTACGTCCTTGGGTCACGCGAATAAAGATC